TTCCAAAGAGAGAACCTGAGAAAAATTCCTTTCAACACCTCTCCTTTCAACACCCTTAAATGGTTATTTGTATTTTTTTTTTAATTCATGGTTATAATGTCATGTTCATGCTGGGTAACTGCTTTCTGCTGAAGGATGTATATGCTTATATATTTTAAAAGTCTGTTTTTAATCTATATATGAGGAGCAACTCTGTCTGTTTTTTTATCACTAAGTCTCAGCACGTAGGTCAGAAAGCTCTCAAAGATCTTAAGTCTGTATTTGTAATTGTTTTTTTTTTAATTCTCCCAATCTTTCAGCTCCAGGCTTTTGTTACTAAGCCTTCTGCCCACTCTTACTCATTTCTCCTGTTACCTCTTGCTATTGTATTTTGCTCAGTTTAGACAAATGATATTTGGGAATCTTCCTTGCTCTCTCTTTGGAGTTTAGCTTAAGTGCTCTACAATGGGTTACAAGTTCTCCAGCACCAAATCCTTATATACCTTATCATCTATTTGCCTCTGTCTTCTTTGCTAGGTAGGGAGGTCCTTGGAGGCAGGAACCAAGTCTTGTTTACTGACCTCATAGTGCAGTGAGTTAATGAGCAAGCTATATTCAGAGAAGGAAGAAAGGAGAATTCCAAAAGACAACTGCTGGTGGTAATAACAGTGATGTTAGCTAATAGTTAGTCACCTATCATATGTTAGGTGCTATTCTAAGCACTTTACTATGTCCGCCAACAATTCTCTCAACAAGTTGATGAGAAGGATGTTATTTCTCCCATTTTTCCTGAGCCTGTTTAAGCATCAGGTTCTCATTTGAAAACAAATATTGTAATAATAACTACTTTATAAAAGAGGGAAAAATCCCTCATAGAAAGTGCTGGTTAACAACTGTCTGTTCTCATGCTTGTATGCCAAGGCAAACAGGGCATCAGAGCTCTCATTCAGAAGATCCAACCTTGGGGGGAGGGGGAGAGTGTGGGGGAGAAAGGTTGACATTATCCTGATCTTGAGTATTGCCAGAGGAAGAGGAAAAAAAAGACTTAGCGTTAGTGAAGTCCCTGTTGGGAGCAAGGACAGATTCATGCCTGCTGGCTCTCCTCCTCCACAATCTTCAGAGAAGGGCCCTCATAGAGAAGACAGACACTCAATATTTGCTTACTCTGATCCAATAAAAAACCTTTCTCTTAGTTTTATGGCATTTTACTTTCACTGTGTGGGAGTCATACACAAAGAAAGGAGAGGAAGAGGGTTGCTAGGATAATTTGCAAGCTGAGACAGAACAGGATGCAGGCACCTCAGAGCTTTTGTAAGTTCAGCTCCAGGTCACAGCTATAAAGGAGTATCTCAATAAAGCGAGTCACACAAAGCTTTTAGCTTCCCAGTACATATAAGTTATGTCTACATTATACTGTAGATTATTAAGTGTGCAGTAGCATTCTGTCTAGAAAATCTAGTGGACATAGCTTAATTAAATGCTACATAGAGCTACGTTCCCAACAATTTGCTGTTGGAAAACTGGTGCCCAAAGACTTGCCACAAGCCTTCATTTGTAAAAAATGAAGTATCTGTGAAGTGTGATGACAAAGCACAAGAAATTGAGATATACCTGTATAATCAAAAACAACAAAGTTTGGTCAGTTGGTTTCATTCTCTGTGCAAGGTTTGAACAATTTTTTGAACAATTTACTTAGATTTTCAGAGACTTTTTTCTGTCACTCATAAAATGGCCAAAATAAAACCCAACAGTCAATAAATGTTAGTCCTGTCATTCAGAAGCTAATTTCCACTGAAAAATGAAAATAAAAATTTTATCTGCATTTGACATTGAAGAGTTCACTTGTAAACACTACAGCATTATGCAATGACCAGGTATTATTAATTTGCTATACAATATTTGTGAAGCTAACTAAATACCAGATCTTGTGATAAATCCTGGAGGAACAGAAGGATGATGAGGCACAGCCTTGCCCTCAGAAGAGAACTGCTGAAAGAGAAATGTGTAAGTTTCCAGAGTCCAGAAAGAAAGGGCAGCAAGGGAAGAAGGAAGGGCTCTGTGGCCGACACAGGCGTCCACATACCTGGCACTTTGCCTTCCCTGGGGGATAGCTGATAACTTCTCCCCAGCACCAGCTGAGGGCTTGCCCTGACTATCCTACCCAAGGACTGCAGGGATGGAACTACAGGATGAGTTTCCAAATCTTTAAAGTAGCAGAAAAAGAATCTTGCAAACTTGAATGCAATAGGGAGAAGTTGCAGTCACTGATGGAGGAGGTTGTCAAGGATCGGGAGAGGAAAATCACTATCCATTGTGCTTCTGTTCAAGGTTGATCAAACAATTCAGATTCTCTGATTTCCAGTCCAGCCAGCCAGGCTTCCTATTTTCAAACTCTTTTATTTCCCTCTCCTTTTGAGAAGGTATAAAATAAGTAGGGAGGGAGAAAGATTTCTTGCCCAACCATGATTCAGGAGGAAGCTCAGCCACAGAACAGGCAAGTGTGGCATTGCCTGGAGAAAAAGGACTTGTAGAGGCAGGTTTATAGAATGATACACCCAGATTTTGCAAAGAAGGCACCTCCTTTACCATAAGTTCTAAGACCTACCAAGTTCAGAAAGAAACTACCTGCATTCCCGTGGACATCCTGGCATAATGTGCCCAGCAGGATCAGAGTGAGTAACCAGAGGTTTGTCTCCAACATGAACCCCCGGAACCATGCAGGTCCCGTTCGCAGCTTGAAGTTTTTGTCTCTCCTGGTGGCCCTAAGTGCAGAACTCCTATTCCTGGGAGAGGGAGTCCAACTTCGGGACAATGGATATGATGATTTACTGGTTGCAATCAATCCTCAGGTATCTGAGGATCAGAACCTCATCCCAAATATTAAGGTGAGTAGCAAGAACATAATTAATACCATTCTATCATTGGGATAGAATGTAGTCTTTATTTAGTACCCTAGTCTTTGAAGAGTTAACAATCCTACGTGGTTTGCACTGGAGCCATAAGAGCAGCATCTGTTAAAGATAGCAACAAAAATTGTCATTATGGCTAAGTCAGTTTGTGTTTTTTATTTCTGCAGTGTCTCCTCTCGTCTTCTTTCATTTGTTGATGGTTACTAATCATTTTGATTTCTGTGAGCTCCTCCATGGCTGTTTGAGAAGTAACAACATTATAAATAGCCCATGTGGCAATCAAATCCAAGTGATTGACTGATGAAAAAGCCCTGTTGTGCTCATTAAAATCGTATTGTTGTTGGATTCTATTTTGAGAGTGAGAATTGTCGGAAAGAGAAAGTCCAGAGTGACAAAGAAACTTTCATTGCACTAGAATGCTCTGTAAAATAAGTGGGCATTTATACTTGAACATGGTAAGGGAGGATCACAATTCATTACTGAAGAGCTCCCTTTTGATATTGCTTCAGTGATCGGTGTCATCACAAGGTGTGGTCTTGTGCATGCCTACAGGTAGGACAAGCAAAGGATTTGAACCATAAAAGCTTAAAAGCCTTTCACAAAATTGAGAAAATTATATAGACAAGTCCAGACACAAAATTAGTGTCTCAAAATCTCCTCCAGATAACTGTTAGAAGCTTATTTTGCTCCTAAGTTTGCCCAGTTAAAGCTAACTCAAAAGGATCCTTCAATAGCTTTTATTTTTTAATGACTAGATTTTCAAGTATAATGAGAACATGAAAAAATAAACTTGCAAGTGATAAAATAAGCTTTTCTTTTATTTGGTTATAGGAAATGATAACTGAAGCTTCTTATTATCTATTCAATGCTACCAAGAGAAGAGTATTTTTCAGAAGCATAAAAATTCTAATACCCGCCACCTGGAAAGCTAATAATTATAGTCAAGTAAAACAAGAATCATATGAAAAGGTAAGAATTCACGATTTCATTAAAGGGGGAAAAAAAAACAACTAAAATATACTGTGCTTAAACAATAAAGGTGAGAACTAGGGCCAAAACAAATCACTGATACTAATTTATATATAATATTAATGGGAATATTTTTATCCATAAAATATATGGAAGTATAACAAAGAAGTACAAATAATGGAATAAAAAAATAAGCCAAGCTAAGTAGCCTCTCAGGAAATCTTTTTAAAACATACAGGATCCTTTCTGAGATTTTTGGCAAAGGACCAAGCACTAGTTTTATCCTGAATATGAAGTGTGAAGGGAATAATTCCAGTTATGACTATCAGAATTTCTCATCCTGTTAGGGGCAATAAACATGCATGTACAGACAGAAACAAGCCACCCCCACATACAAAGAATATGACTGTCTTCTGTTAGAATGTAAATTAACAGGATTTCTCATTAGTCAAAATCTGATACGTTTTAGAGAAGGGTGGGGTAAGAAGGGGAATAAAAAGTGGCTAACTGGCCCTCCCTGGTGGTGCAGCGGGTTAAACCACAGCACTGAGAAGCTAAAGCCACTTCTGCATGAGTTCAAT